TTTTTTTTTTTGGTTAAAATTTACTAAAAATATATATTTTTTAGCTAAATTAAATATGTATAATTAAGTTTTTATAGTAAATACATGTTTGAGCCATATTAAAATTTTCATTTTCATTTTTAATTCTCATTCTTCTACTCATTTTCAAACACACATTTTTCAATAAAATAATATTTTCTATCACATCAATAACTTTTCCTTCTTTTTCAACTACACATGTTGGAATTTTGTATTAGAAATTGGTTGTGACCAATTGAAATGATTTAAGTGGAAATTCTTTGTTTGATGAATGAGAAATTAAGTCAAACTTAAACCGCATAATACTTGAAATTATTGGAAAGTCGTATAGAATCTTGTGAAATATTCTAGAAAATATGTAGATGAAAAGATGTGTCTTTTCATATGGAATATCATGACATTTGGAGATCATGACTTTTGGTATGAGTAACTTCCAAAAATTATGTATATTCAAGATATGTGTCTCTTGGTTTGATTGTGTCTTTTGACAAGCCTTTCCAACTACTATATATATGGATTCCCCATATGTTTGGATCACAACAACAACAAGAAGAAACAAGAAACAATTCAATTGATAGTTTCATATCATTTCATGTTTTGCTTTAATTTTGCAAAAAACACTTTATAGAAGTGACTATTTCTTATATCAAAATCATGATTATGGTAAAGAGGGAACTCCGTTCGAGTTCGTTGGTCTAAGTCATTTGGAGTGCTCCTATGGCTTAACGTGATCGTTGTATCTTGGGAGATGATTGCCGAGAAACCGTTAGCACCAATGCGGGGCAAATTCATCTTAAGGACAAAGTGTCAAACACTTGCTTCGACCGATCGCATCACTTGCATCTCATCTTTATTTTTCGATTTCATTCTAAATTAGTATTTTGATTTCGGAAAGTAACTAATATTCTTTTGATTTCATGCAAGGTTTGAAATAAAAAATGACACACGTTCAAGATTAGAAAGTGATGAATTCATATTCATTTATTGGAAGTCGGTAATCACTATTTTGTCTTCTCAAATCAGATTTCGTTAAATCGAATGATATTTCGATATCACGGTATGTTCTTGATTAATATAATATGCACATCATCGGTGTAATATCTCCAACAACACACTCTCAATTAATCTGTTATTCCAAAATACATTCTTTCAAAATAATGTGGTTCAAATACACCCAAACGGCCCATTTGACCCTCCACTAGTGAATTCTGGCCAGTTTCTCTAGAAATTTAACTCCCCAGGTTGTGCAAAAACCCAATTTCGCGGCTGTCTGGGCCATCACCACTACAATAATTTTAAATTATTTTTTTTATGAGAGAACACTATAAAGTCTCCCCCACAGAAAGTCAGAAACTAATCATCAGAAAATGGGTACCAAAAAATAAAATAATAAGACTATTTTCCCATCAGAAATTACGTAAATTTAAAATTAATAGAATAAGTGACTACTAAAGAGAAATTCATCAATAAGTCCACATTTGATATTGATTAAAATCAGATTTTAATATAAATCAAAGTCAATTGATGACGAAATAAAAATATAGTAGTCAATAACATCGAATCATCAAATTTTAAACATTTTTTTCTTTTTTTACTCAAGGACTTTCCAATCAATTCTATGACAGAGAAAAAAAAGTAAAAGAGCAGCGCCGTAAGACTTCTGGCTTTGTTTAGTTGGACTGTTGGAAGCAATCACCTTTGGACCTCTTCAAACTTTTGAATTCATCCCCAGGGCTTCATTTGTCAGACTCACGAGATTTATTTGAAAATAAGTAACAAAAAATCCTTAAAAAATTTGACACGAAATTCTCTGAAAATAAAATTTGGAATAGAAATTTATTGACAATGAAACTTAATTAGCCTCTGTTTGGTGAAGATTAAAATCATATTTAGATAAAAAATTAATAAAATATATGATTGAAAAGTTATGAATCTCATAAAATATATAATTAAAATTAATTGTCGACTTTAATTTTTATAAAAAATTAGATTATAATTTCTACGTGGGCTCGTTCTCATTCTTCTTCAACTCATAAAGTTGTGCTCCGGCCTTAAAAATTTTCTGCTCCTTCGCAGTGCCGAAATGGTCCAAATTTAAAGGCCCATGACAATATTAAAGGACGACATTGATTTATGGTATAAAGGAAAAAATTTATAAATAAAATGTTTAGTTTACACCAATTCAAAAATCATGTTTATAGTTTGAAAATTCAAAAATCAAGATTTTTTTTTTTAAAATTCTAATATAATATAATATAATAAACCCACCCCACATGCACCACCCCTACCGCTCCGGGAACTATTTCGGCGACCATTCTTCTCCGACGACCATTCCGACGACTATTCCAGTCACAGATTTACAATTTACGTTCACAGTTAAAAAATTTTATAAGTCACATTTAATTCGTTGGTCACAAATCTCAAAATTAGTTGATCACTGATCAAAATTTATAGGTCACACAGTCACAGATTTTCAAATTAATTGGTCACAGATTTTTTACGGTCACAGATTATATAATTTTTAGGTCACATATAAAAAAATGGTTAATTTCATTGGTCACATATTTTTAAATTTGTTGGTAACGGATTATTTTTCAGTCACATATTGTCAAATTTTTAGGTCACAATTAAATACTTGGTCACAGATAACCAAATACTTGATCACATACCACTGGCTTTACCACTTCAGCCACTTTTGACCACCCTCACCCCGCTGCCGCCATCACCACCACAGCCACCAACATTATCGCCGTCGACTAGCACCGCAAACATCACCACCACCTCAACACCGCAGCCAACATCCCAACCACCACCATCCAACTACAAACAATGTCACAACTTGCAAACCACTACCAATTACCCTAAAAAACTCCAGATTTTCACCACCAGCACAACACCACCCCCACCACCTTATCGCCAATGCCCAAAACATCCTACCTCAGATCTAATGGGAGAAACACACGTCACCGCCGCTGCAACGATGATTTTAGCTCTCAAAGCAGCGCAGAGTCATCCCAAACATATTGGATGGAAGAACCACTACATCCACGTTGCTGCCGTCCCCCAAAACAACATCCATATTGCCGTCACTACAACCAGTCACCACACCATCGAGTCACAGTCCACCTCGCTGCAACACAATCGACACCCTCACAAACGAAAAAAAACAAACAAACAAAATACAACCACCGCCTCATGCACAAAACACCCACTCGGCATCACCAAATATCAAATCCCGATNAGACTGCCATCCCCATGTGTTCCCACCAATTGCCTCTGCCAAAGATAGCCCAAGTTGTATGTCAGAAATGATCTGCTACTTCCCAAAATATCAAGCTGGTCACAACTCTAAAGAAATCTTAATTATAACTATTAATTGATTACTACTAACCAACTTGATAAATCTCCAAAAGAACAGTACTATTCAGATAATTCAGATATGCAATCAAAGGGATTGACTTCGAAATGCAACCATCAGTAGACATACAGCTCTAGGTAGAGAAAATCCTTCAGGGACACGGAAAAAAAATCGGAGAGAGTATTCTTCCCACTTCTTCAACCGGTTGTCCAGTGTCAACCAGACCAAATTCCGAATGTATGCTACACCCTATCGATGTAACAAAAAAAAAATCAAAATCAAAATTATGAAACCCAAACAACAAGAAATGTAATGAAAATTTCATAAATTATGTTAAAATGGAAAATAAAACTTAAATTGATCCCCGGTTTAAATCCTCAGCTCGATCAGTGGCCTCGATTTTCATTTGAGCAGAGGCCTCCCTGTAATGATAGACAATATTATCAATTTCTCATAAAATACTTACATGCTTCTGTGAAGAGAGATGTTAAAAGGGTAAAATCTCACATAAACAATAAGGCTTGGGCTCGAACCTCAAGCCTCCTATGGTACGAGGGCTAAAAAAGCTTAAACGAGCAATTCAAGCAATTTAAATCTTAAAACAAACAGTCAGTTCCATATTCGTGCTCAACCCATTGTTCTAAAAGGCGTCTCTAGGCACGACGAGCGAGCCAAACGCATCGAATTGGTGAAATGCGAGTAAAAATGCGTTTCTGTTCCAAAATGCCGCGCCTAGGCTGAGCATATGTGCGCCTAGGCGGAGCATTTTCGAACATAATTTTTTTTTTTTTTGTAAAAAATCTGTTTTTTTATATAAAAATATATTTAATTCCTTAAAAATAATTAAAATAATATTAAAAATACGAAACGCATTATGACGCATATTCTTCGCATTGACGCGCCTAAACTTATGATTCTTGATTCTCGACCTCGACGCATCGCAACGCATTACGCCTTTTAGAACACTGGTTTGAATAGATTAAGTGTTTAATATTTAAAATAAAATACCTTATTTTTAAATAAATAAATTGTAGACCTGATTTTTAAAAATCAATCTTTAAACACCTGATTTTTCATAATTTCCCTAGTACAAATATGGGTCCGCTTAGATCGTATTGTTCATACATAACCGCGTTATGTTTGACTATCACAAGTTAATTATTATTTTAAATATGGTTGAATAAGGTTTTTGACAACAAAGTAGAAAGTATTTAAAAATAACATAAATATATAGTTGTTTAGTTGCGGTCTAAAAATAGCTTTTTGATTATGTTTAGCTCTAATTTCAACTTTTATGGAGGGCTAAAATTTACATTACTTATACTTATTAATTAATAAAATAACAAATATATCTAATCCAACAATAAATTTGTATATAACTTAAACATTATTTTTGAACTAATATGGCATTTTTTTTTTTTTGAAAAAAAGATTTATAGTAATTTTGCATTTGTTAATTCTCAATAATATTTTTAAAAATGAAATTTAAGATTAAGTTTTTTTAAAAAAAATAAAATAAAATTTGAGTTTGTACAACAAATTATAATAGTTCATACATTTATGATATTTTAAATATTGACATGTTATATTTGATGTGGATGACCAAGATTGAAGAGAATTGTTGAAAGGAAAATTTGCGAAATTTTTATAATTGGGCAGCTACCCAGTTATATTGGTCTGGCGGCCGCCCGACTTTAGACTTCAATATTAGAAACCAATTTTTATGCCAGGTGGTAAATCGGGGAAAATTTTCTGATTTCCTAATTTGATTTCAACTCTTATATAAACAAATTTTGGGATGCCTTTTAAATACCTAGGACCGTCTGAAGTAACCACCACCCATTATTAAATATTTTGAAGAGCTTTTGGAGTACAGAAGAAGTCAAAAACACGAAAATCGAATCCAAGAACACGAGCCTCAATTCAAGAATTATTTGGATGATGTCGATTCTTCAATATTCCTTTTGTTTTCTTATTCATAACATGCTAGACTAGTTTTCTTTGTGTTATGAGAACGATGAATCATGTAATATGAGTTTAATCTCTAGTTTTATATGTTTGACATTAAAAACACGTTTTTGAATATTGAATGATTTATATGATTTTTTTTTTCTCCACAATTATTGTGCATGATAGTTGTGTTGGTGGCTTATTTTATACATTCGAAAAAAGAAAATATGTTCGACGTATATAAATTGTCATAGGATCCGATAGGGGATAAAAATATATCGCTACGCCTTATGTGAATTTTTAAGTGTTCATAAAAATTCATGTACTTTTATGTGTTCGCATTTATCATAAAAATATAGTTTGGTCATATATAAAAGTAGGTTTAACATTATTCAAGAGAAATTGTTAAATAAAATAGAAACATTGATTCATCAAATTTAATCGTGTTGTCAACAAGTAAAACTATGGTTAACATTGATTATTGTATGGGAATTCGAGATTCTAGTATGTTTGTCATTCATTAAAACACATTAACTTGCGTTCAACATAATTTGCATTTAATTTAGTTAATTCACTCATAATTGCATAAGTAGATTAATTTAGTAATAAACACATCATATTATTATTGTTTCGATTAATGTCGCGATAATTAACGAGTTCGTACATTTGCGGTGATTTAATTCGAAATATATTTCCGTGAACAATTATATATAATAAAAAAAATCATATTTAATCAAATAATTATATGTACAATTAATAAATCAAAAGTATTGTTCTAGTTATGCAGCCAAATAGTCAATTTAACGTTCACAACACTTTTTCATTTTTCTTTCTTTTTGTTTTTTGGACAACTAAAAAATCATGAACTTCTTAGTAACAATTCTTTTTGGAAAAGCTCGATTAGTAAAATTTCTACTACTAAGAACCCTACTCTCAACAACCTTATCAAAATGATTCCTTACTAATGAATAGACAATAGGTTGGATGACTCTCTTTTTTCATCCATATGTAAAGATTTTAGCCACAATGAACTCTAAAGTTGGGTTTGCTACCCTAAGATAATATAAATAATATAGACATAACCAAAAATGGCTAAACTAATTGGTGTCAAAGTAGACCTCGTCGTATTATTATGTATTAATAACAATTGTTACAATTACTTTATTCGATCAGCACCTCGTGTGGTTGAGGAAGACAACAGAATTGCTAGGTTTCCAGTTAGGCAAAACACGAGCGGTAGAAGGCAAGGGAATGAGGACAAAGCGAAGAGGTTCAAGAGTTTCGATAAGGTGAGAAGAGGGCGGTGGGCAACAGGATATTTTAAGCCGTCCAAACGACGTCGTTTTGGGAAGGATGCCGAGAGTGTTACACGTGGCAGAACAAAACTCCCTCTTTTATGTAGTTAGGATTAGGATATGTAAAGATTTTAGCCACAATGAACTCTAAAGTTGGGTTTGCTACCCAAAGATAATATAAATAATATAGACATAACCAAAAATGGCTAAACTAATTGGTGTCAAAGTAGATCTCGTCATATTATTGTGTATTAATAACAATTGTTACAATTATTTTCTTTTGTATAAACATAATGGTAGTAAGATGATACCTACCCTCGAAAAGCTCATCATCATGCCATTAATGATTTCAAAGTCTAATGTCAGTACCAATTATACTACATGTACACCCTCGTTTACAGAATTTACATTTGACAAAATTTCTCACCACTTTTCATTACAAACACAATTAATCCAATTGCTCATTTTCTGCCTCATAATCATCCGTACAATAAGGTGTACTCATGCCCGTACACACTTCTCATTAATGAATCGTGTATTAGGTTGTTGGGAAGCAAGGAGAAACAATTTCAGCCCATAGTCACATTGCTGGACCACCCTTGAAAACATTCATCCTTCTATGCATCGTTTGGGATATGAAAAATAACTCTGGATCACGTCGTGCATTAAATAATAATCCGCAATTTTTTTTTAGAACAATGTAAGAATTTCTCTGTTATCCTCAATGTGAAAGTAGGTTTTCACGATGAAGAAATATTTTAAAATCATGCTACTTGTACAATCTTTGTCGACAATATGAATTGACAACTACACAATTGGCACTATCACATCCAATCCATTTTGAAAATTGTTAAGATCTATTTCTCATATCAACGGTCTGAATTTTGACAATATATGATCATCAACCAAGATTGTCATCAATTTCTATACAGTCAGCTTTATTCAAAATTTTATAACTGTGATCTCAGTTCACGTATATTCTTCATATATACGGATTAACGAAAACCCAAAATAGAAGATGCTATTTTCTAATAGGGTTAATCTTGTGTCAAAAAGGGTTTGCAAAATCCTATAATATTTAATGTAATTGCATAATGATACAAGCAACAAGATTTCTGCAGGGTTTTGAGGAAGGGAAAAATAATCAAGGATCTTGGGAATCTGGCTGAATGTTTAAAATTTGGGAAACCATGAGCTTAGATAGCTCATTAATGGCTGCTTGAACCCGATAATCGTCAGGATCCCTATGCCCTGGCCATGGCGATGATTGTGAACTTAATCGGGAATATTCACTTGCAGCAACTTTCGTTTTGGTTGTTTTAGAGATGACTTTCTCCAAATCCAACTGCGATAATGGCCTTGGGACCTAGAAAATACAAAGAAAAAATTAACAAGAAAATAGATAGAAGTTAAAACATTCATTCCTGAACCAAAGCATTCGTGTTCATTACTTAACCAGGAATGTCTTTACTCCCCCGTTTGGTCCCCATTTTCTAACTCATTTTTCCTCGCTCATTTTCAACAACATAATTTTATGGGACTCACGACTTTTATCAAATCTTCAACCACAAGTTTCATCAACTTTTATCAAAATTTACTAAAAATCTAATTTTTTTGCTAAATCAAACAGGGACTGAATAATTTCATGCTTCTGTAAATTGCATTTCATAAGTGGGTTTATAGAACTAAATATACGTCGATTTGCAGCAAAATCAACAATTTACTACAGATACACAGAAGAGAACATACAGAGAAAACTAAGCCCTTGTTTGCTGTAGATTAAATTTTGATAAAAATTTCAAGTCAAGGACAGCAATTAATTTTAATCACATATTTCATCAACTTTTATCAAAATCTACTAAAAATCTGATTTTGATTTACACCAAACAGAGACTAAATAAGGCTCCAGAGATTGCCACTGTGAATGAACTAGTACAACAGATTCGAGCTAGCATAGCAGTAATTTTCATAGAATTTATTTCCTGAAGCAACAATTGGCGGAATTATGTTGTAGCTTGCGACACCATTTAAGTTGCCACATGAATAGGATTGCATCTGATGGGGTCACGGGAATTTACTAGGTTCTCTTTATAAAATCAAATCAGTAAATATGATAACAAGTTAAAAGTGGAATCCATTGATTTAGTAAATGACTAGAGCGGGCAAGGCATTTTAAGAACTTGAATCTTCCTCAATCCCTGTGGCACATTGAATTAAAAATGCAATAGATGGCTTATGAATTGATAAAATATTGTTATATTCTGAGATTATTACATAATCAATCTTGTAATCATAGGTCGTCCTAACCCGAGTTAGTGGAGACCAAAAATAAAGTTCCAAGAGAGTTGATTAAGCAAGTAAAGGAGAAATTACTAACCGAAGATGGTTTTCCATTCTTCTCATCATCGAGCAGGTCCCTGATAGGAAAGTAAGCAGCTTTTTTGCAGAGCTCAAGAAGATCCGAGCCAGTGTATCCATCACAAAGACCAGCTATATGGTCGTAATCAATGTCATTTTCAAAAATCTCATCCTTCAGAATCACCTTCAATATCTGTGACCTCTCTCTAAGATCAGGAATCCCAATTTCAAATGCTTGAGGAAGACGACGGAGAATTGCTTCATCAAGTTCTGATGGACGATTAGTCGCAGCAAGTACCATCACCCGAGAATTGTCTGCATAAACAAAATCATACCATCTCAGCAAAAAGTGATATCTCCAATTTCTCAAATTAACACATACTTATGAACACAATTATCTATCATTACTCTATTGAACAATATGACAACCACATTACGGATGAGCCACGAAAAGGTATATTAAAGAGCAATGGAAACTATCTTTAATAATATTCCCATGAAGGTTGAGGAAGCTTACGGTCTGTGGTGAAACCATCCCACAAAGCCATAAATTCTGTCTTCATATTAGTTAGTGCTTCGTGGTCTGTAGTCTTGCGTTGGCCCAAAAAACTATCCACCTCATCAATGAAAATAATTGCCGGCTGGAGTTTATGCGCCAGGCTAAACACAGCAGCAACTGCAAAAGTATTTTTAATCAGAAGTAACAGTAAATGAATAGCCATGGAGAATCGGTACCAAGAAAAGAGAGGATTTTAGCAGTAATAAAACATGGCTATGTATGGGATCCATCAGGACAAACAAGTACTTAGAAATCAAAGTTAAGAAAGTGCAGCAAATCATTTAGACTATGTAAACAAGAAATTTAAAACTAGCCACAATGTAAATGAAGGTAAAAAATCCCCAACCCAAACTCATAAATCAATACAACTGCAACGAGTACAAACACATTGAGAGAAGGAACAGGTGAAGCACCACAACACATTCATGAGAAACCATTAAAATAATCAGAATATGCAAAGAGGCTAGAAAAAACTTTAAATAAATCAACAAAATCCAGAGGATGCAAGAGGAGTAAGAACTTGGAGAATATGACCGATACTCACCTAGTTTTTGTGCATCCCCAAACCATTTGCTCATCAGATTTGATATTCTCACATTGATGAACACAGCTCCTGACTCTTTTGCAATTGCTTTGGCGAGCATAGTCTTCCCAGTTCCAGGGGGTCCATACAGCAAGACACCTTTTTGTGGACCAAGAAGCTTTCCTTGAGAAAACAGCTCAGGTCTTCGTAATGGAAGAATAACTAATTCATACAATGCCTGTTTAATGGCTTCCAATCCTCCAATAGAGTCAAATCTTACATCAATATGGTCAGGATTGATCACATCACAGGCTATAACATCCTATCAATAAGCGAAACAGACAATTAGTAAGGAGAGATTATACAAATTTATATCTGGATGTGAACATGTGATAATTCTGAACATTGCACATCACCACCAGGCAAAACCATGGGATTTAACTTCATTTTAATTGCCAGAGTAAATAAAATATAGCCCCTGTATTGTTTAGACAAAAATCAGATTTTTAATAGATTTTGATAAAAGTTGATGAATTGTATGGTTGAAAAGTTGTATGCCCATGAAATGTGTCGTTAAAATTAGATGTTGACTTTGACTTAAACTTTAATAAACTTTTTTAGCATAACCAAACATGGGTATAACATATAAGGTTTGCTTGCTATGTGGCTTCAATAACTTAGCACCAGGCCCAACTTTTATATAAAGAAAAGAAGTGAATTTGAACACCCAGTTTTTAAAATTCCAGATCTCTATTTACGTTTCAAGGGGCAGACTTCCATTCCCTTCTCCAGCAACAGTGTACTGCACCAATAACTTTGTTTTGTTCATTTTTGTAATACTCCTATCAGCTAATACTAGACCCTTTATGAATTAATGGCAGCCATCATCTATATATGTGGAACCACCTTAGACCACCCAATGCCAAAGTTGATAGCAGTCGTAACTGTATTTAAACATCAATATGCAAGCTGGCACGCACAATGCCGTGGTGAAATTTTAAAACAACAATAAGCAATCTGATCCAATGCCATGGACATCAATGACCATAGAATGACAGTTATTCATATGCTATAGTATCCAGAGAATCATCCCATAGACAAAAAAAGTCTGATTCAAAATTCTAGAACACTTGAGAGTGTGTATTTCAATGTCTTTTGATGTTGTATGCTAGTAGCAGAACTCCCAAACACATGGTAAACAAAATATCATTACTCTCAAAGCACTTGTATTCAGCTTAGTTGACAATATTTTGAATCAGAATTCTCAATATTATGACTGCTGTAATATTAAAATCTTTAAAAAAATTCTCTTTAGTCTCATTCAAGGTTCTAAAGGGCGTAAAACATGGCAAGGCAGAAAGGCTGAGCCTCAAGCCTTACCAGCCTAGGCACGCCTACACGAAGTCTAGACGTAATAAGACGTTTTCTTATTTTTAAAATTTATTTTAATTATTTTAAAATTTATTAATACAAATTCCTTTTATTTATTTAGTTTATTTAATAAGCATCACTCTAGATGTCAATTAAGCCCGTGTTTGGTGGCCTTTAATTTGAAAAAAACTATGTTTTGAATACTATTTTTTGGAGAATGTACGATTAAAAAGTAGGAAAAGATTTTCGATTTACGTGTAGAATATTTTATTGTATTGTGTGGTTGAAAATAAGTATGAAAAATGAATTAAAGTAAGGAAATTAAATTAAAGGCAATCAAACAGGGGCTAAGTGACATTAAGTTATTGCAAACTAAGTATCATTAAGTGATTGGACATTACAAGATACTAATGCCATTCATGATGTTCAATAGTTTAATTAACACCTAGACTGGTGCTTAGCATTAATTGAGCTACATTGCATTACTCTTATTTTAATCTTCAACTAAAGAAAGCCTTAATCCAAGTTTTGATTTCCAAAACAATCAATGAAACAAGAAGTAACAATTAAACTAACAGTATCACAAACCCAATACCACACATTATCCTCACGCAAAAAGAAATATTCTTGGATTATCTATGACATCCATCCAAGGGCATAAATAGCCTAACAGGCTGCTAAAACTCAGCTTGACTTCTTAAATGAGCCTGGAAAGGAAAAGACGGTTCGGAGAAGCTTGTTTGATTTATTGTTCAAGTTCAAGTAGAACCAATCTTCGAGAAACCACAATGAGCCAAGCTCAAGCAGATAGCAATTTTATTGTATTTGATAGTTAGTACAACTATAAAGTTGATTTTAAGCTTGGCTTGTATATCTCGCAAGTTAGTGTTTTTACGACCCCAGTCCAAGGTGCTCGAGCAATTTTCCCCCTTTCCATCTAGATCAAACACAAGAAATTTACAGAAGTAATAGGTATTTTTTTAACTTTTTTTTTTGTCCTTGTGCTAAAATATAAAACCAAAACCAAAACCAAAACCAAAATAAAAATCAAAATGCAATTACATTTTCAATAATATCTAAAATTTATGTCACTACGAATGTTAAATGTCTAAAAAAATGTATGCTATAACAACTTAACTGCCATCACAGTGAACTTTTCTTATTAAGTAAAAAATCACACATCCATTACTGAAAAAGTTTAACAAATCAATAACACAGACAATGCCGTACAATATTTATACAAATTAAGGTATATAGAAATAAATTTGAACCTCATAGGGATTAGTCTGGATGAGAGGTCGGCCCAAACGCTTTGCAATGTCCTTCTTGTGTTCAATTGCTTTCTTAGACGCTTCGCGGTTCGGGTCGAGATGTCGGAGCCCCGCGAACAAAACCAAACAGCTCAAAGCAGCGCTTGCGGCGTAGAGAACCAGTTCTTGCAAAAACTTGGTTTCCGATGAACCGCTTCTCATTTTTGCAGTTCTTTTGGAGGATTTGGCCTCAATTTGAGATGAAGAATCTGTAAAATTTACCGATTTGGGGACATTGGGAATTTGAAAAGAAGAGGAAAACTTGGAGGGCACGAGAGGACAGGAGCTGGGGACTCGTATTGATGAGAGGGATTTGGAACGGACAAAGGAAGATGAATCTTACATATGTGCCCTTTATCCAAGTTTTGAGAGAGGACCTAAGCTTTCAATGTTGACCAAGACACCGTTGCATGAATCTTTTCTTGCGAAAACCGTCTTTACCGTCACCTGCAGTCTCATTTCTGGTCTTCGTTAAATCGGTGCACAGGGCAAAATGACATCCTTATCATTCAACTTTTAGTCACGTATAAACTAAAATTCAGATTTTAATCTAAATCAAAATTAAAAATTAATTTTAACCACGTATTTTATGAGATTCATATCTTTTCAACAGTACATTTCATCAACTTTCATGAAGATCTACTAAAAATTTGATTTTAATCTCCAACGAACATGAGCCTAATGAAAAAGATTTTTACAAAAAAATACAAATGAGTCCCTGTTTGATGTGAGTTAAAATTTTAATAAAAAATTAAATAAAAGTTAGCAATTAATTTTAATTATATATTTTCTGAGATTCATAATTTTTCAAATATACATTTAGAGCTTGTTTGTGAGTGATTTTAATCCAATTAAAATTGAAAATATAGCCGTTATTGAATCTCACCTGTCTAATAAAAGTCAACAATAACTACTATATTTTCAATTTTAATCCGATTTTAATCCCTCCCAAACAAAAGTCGTCAGACGAGGATTAAAATTAGATTTTTAGTAAATTTGATAGAAGCTGAAGAAATATGTGGTTAAAATTAATTGTTAAATTTGATTTAAATTAAAATTTAGATTTTAATTTTAATTTCTACCAAACATGTGCTTAATCATTTTTTTTAATCAAAATTTACAAAAATCTCATTTTTAGCTACACTAAATAAGGATAGATCGAGCCCATATTTGATACATATTGCTTAAAAACTCTTTATTCTATATGCTCATTTTCAATCATACATTTACATAATAAAATATTCTGCACGTAAATTTAAAAAAATTTCATACTTTATAACCACACATTTTTCAAAATTCATCATTCAAAACTTTATTTTTGTCAAATTATGACCATCAAATATGGGAAATTTTCACCAAATGTCCCAAAATCTAAACCTTTTAATCATATCAAATAACTCCAATCATTTAAAATTGTGCAGTATAATGACCTTTGCACTGTTTTTTGTATACAAATTTGTTAATTGATCAAAAGTCAAGCATTTGATCATAATTTCACCAACTCTTAAAAGAACAAAATAATCTTTTTAACATTTAATTAATTAAAACAATTACAATTTGTTTCAGAGATCCATAACTTTAACAAAAAGTACCAAACGATTCCAATTTTTTTTAGTAAATGTGCATCGAAAGGACTTCTAATGAATTTCACCTAAAAATCTTTCAGTTGATAAAAAGTAAAACGTCTGGCCTAAATTTGATAAAAAATAATCGAAAATTTTTGGACAAAAATAATTAGAGGCCATTCTAATGCATATTTATTAAAAAGATTTGGATATGTGTTGAATAATTTTGAAAGGTTTGGAATCTCATATGCAAATTGCCATTGTTATAAGTAATAAAATGTTAGAAGACCATTTTTATCATTTTATGAAATTGGTCAAATTATAGTCAACACTTAACTTTTGGTCCACTAACGAATATTTGGACGAAAACCATCCAGAAGTTTTTATATTGCACAATTTAAAAAGGTTTCAGGGCTATTTGCTACTATTTAAAGATTTGAATGTTATCTAAACTATTTTGAAAGTTTTGACACCTTCGATGCAAATTTTCCAGAAGAAATTCTGTTCAATACGTGTTATTTGTACTGTTTTGCAACGTCTAAATTGAATGATAGTTAAGTTGATTCATTTTTTATTTTTATTTAAAAAAAAAAAAACTTGCTCTCGACGTGCCATAATACTAACAAAAAGGATTTTGATGGGGTTCTTAGTTGCTGACAATTTAGAGGTCGCAGTTCGATTTGTGGATCTCTTGGAAGGCAGGAGTTCTCCTGGAAGAAAATGTGCAATATGTGTTAATTTGCTCGATACTTTGGCAGATTAGTGGAGGGGGCTCTTGGACCCTAGCCGGTTTGTGGCACATTCCACGATTTATCTGATCTGCGTCTTGAGGAGCCAAGACGAAAACTTCAGAATTAATTGCCGAAAGTGAACACCTAAGTATTAAAAAAAAAGAAAGGAATTTTGATTGTACCAGCACTACTCTGCAAAAGGCTGGACATAAGGAGTTCATCGAGGAATTATGTTACTCATTACTTGTTGGCAGCTTGCTTGCTATTTCGAAAGAGAGAATACTTTTGTTCCGTTGGAAATAACTTTGAAAAAGTCAAAAGTTAATTCTAAAACTAAGAAATTATTTTTGAATAAATATCTGAAAATGTTTTGTCTGGTTAGAAGAACTTTCAAAAGAAATTGGTTTAAGGTAATTTTTTTCAAATAAAAAAAAAAAAAAGCTAAAACGGAAATCCTTCCAAACAGGCCCAAGATAAAAGAAATTAAAATTCTATGATATTGCTTTTTTTTTTAAAAGTTATTTTGCATAAAAAATTTCCAATAGTATTTTTTTACTTAATAAAAAGATATGAATATTTTCAATTATTAGCAGCTTTTTTCCACGAGTTAGCATGATAATGGGCCAAGTTGAGAGACTCGAGACAGTTTGGCTCGCTCAGTTCTAGGCTTAGACTCGACTTGATTGAACTCGATTATCATGACTATGCTAGTTATTTACAAGAAGGCAACTTGGTAAATTGATTAATGATTTTAATTAGAATTATCACGACAAGAATTTGAAGTAACAACAATTATTTAATAAATTTATAATTTTAAAGAAAAAACCATAAAGATAAAGAGGTCTTAAATTTAAATATGTAAACAATATTAGACGATCAGAAATCAATTATCATTGTCTACTGTGGCAATAAATATTTCAATAGATGTAACGACAAGTGATGTTAAGCTGGCAGTGGCACACTGTCAATAGATTGGGGGTCTTAAGCTGCCATTAATTGGTACCCCTTTGTCACTGGATTCAAATATTGGGATCCATCTGTAATATTCCCTATAATTGGTGTGGTAACGTACAAAACTTTAGAGAAATTGCACCATTAATCCCTACTGTATCATTCCAATTGAAAGATGGTCATCAACCTTTACAAATAAGCATAATTAGTTTATAAAATTTAACCCTAGTTGCATGCACAATCGGTTTCATTTATGAAAACTATCCAAATCTTTGTTAATCATATGACCACATGTAAGCAGATCTCCCTAACTTCAAATAATCAGATTCTATAACAATTTTAGACATATTTCTTAATTGAAACTAATATGATAACTATAAGAGTAATATTATTTAGCACCATTGTCTAATTTTTTTAATTGAATCCAGGGCAGGTTTTAATCGGGTGGGCCTCAGGGGTATAAGGGGGCTTCAAAAAAATTTGGACGTCCAAAAATAATTATTATGGAATTTCCTCAATTTTCTTACATTAGATATTTTATGGTAGTGCAAATAAAGTAGGGTCTCCCTATGAATAATGTCTTTTGATTTATTACTGTTTTTGAATTTTTATTTTTAAATATCTTGATAATAAATAGTAGGCACCACCTCATATCTCATATGATTTTCAAAAAACCTTTGTATTTCTTGAACACAAAAATTGATTTTCGAACAAATCAAACGGTGAGTAAGTACCGTAATGTTTCTTATAATGAGAAACCGTTTGATTCGGCCATGTTTGATGTTAATATGATTGTAAAAAAATTATGTGTAGGGGCCTTATGATAATTTATCGTCTAGCGTCTCAAATTTTTCAAGACTGGCCTTGAAAACTAATAGCATAACTATAAGAATAATGATATTTAGTACCACTGGTGTTTAACATTAATCGACGTAACATTACTTGTGTCATTAAATTAAAGTTCAATTAAAAAAAAAAAATTATAACTCATTTATTATTACATATCACATACTAGCATGTGCGAGATAGTATTATTCTAACTATAATGCTGGGTGGGTGGCGATTTTGCTCTTAAATGCTCGCCCTAACTTACTATTACAACAATAAGTTTGGGACTAATGCTTCAATTTTTTGATAACTTTATAGCTATTGGATCCAAGGTTCTTGTTTGTTATTGAGGTCGGGAAGTCCGACAACGAAATGAGTATCTCTTGCCCACGTCACTGAAAAACTCTCAGATATCAGTGCACTGTGTTTACGCCACATGCCACAAAGTTAAAACCCCTGTTGAGGGTATGTTCTCTAAAATATGTATACGTGTAGACAGAGAGAGTGAACGAGAGGGCAGGGCTAAGCAAAGCTTTTCTTGCGTACCCTTTATTCAAATATTACAAAAGTCAAATTGATTTTTCGAGTACAATGACAAAGCAGTACATGGAATAGCCTTTGCAATCTTGAAAGTTATCATCTTGGTGAGCAATTCTAAATTCACTGCGTTAACTTTTAATTTTCAAAGCTTATAAAGCATATATTATTCTTGTTTGGTCAAATATTAGATTGGAAATAGAAAATCAGTTTGGGGCATGTGGAAATTTATTCACATATTTAATGTAATTGGAAGAGCTGAATTTTTTCTATTGTGTTTTTTGCCTTTATTTCTTGGGTCTCTTGGATTTTCTGAGAATATTAGAATAGAGATGGTATTTCAGTTTCTCTGATCTTTCAGTGGAAAAAAGAGAACTGCTCAAGTGAGATGCTCCTTTCATATATGGAAAGATGGGATCATTCTGCATAGTATAGTACTAATTCTCCTATTCCTTTGAGTACCTTCGAGTAATTTTGACCTCATTTACATCCACTTTATAGTTCTTAACAAATCAAGAATTTATTAATACCTTTGATTATGTGATAGCTGATTTGATTATTAATTTACAGATAAGGTAATCGATTGAGTTCTTGCAAATGGGAAACAGTGGCAGGGAAGAAATGGTGGAAATTGAGAGGGAGGATTTGGAGGAACTGAAAGATCAACCCGAGGATTCTAAGAGAATTCCTCCATGGACAAAACAGATAACAATAAGAGGGATAGTAGCAAGTTTACTTATTGGAATAATTTATAGTGTCATAGTAATGAAGCTCTGTCTTACAACCGGGCTCATCCCAAACCTGAATGTCTCGGCTGCTCTTCTTGCCTTTGTGTTTATTCGAACATGGACGAAGCTGCTGGAAAAGGCAAATTTTGTAACAACCCCATTCACTAGACAAGAGAATACAATTATTCAGACTTGTGCTGTTGCATGTTATAGCATTGCAGTGGGAGGTTGGGAGATTCTGAATTTCTAATGATTTTGCTGATTTGATGCTTTATCCTTGATTTATTGGTTTCAATTTTCATGTTTAAAAACTCAGTTTCGTAGTTCATTTAGATCATGTCTGGTACATGGTAATGTGCTTGGATATTGTTTAGTGCTATCAAATCAATCATTTTTTATTAACAGGTGGCTTCGGGTCTTATCTTCTGGGATTGAACAAGAAAACATATGAGCAGGCAGGACTTGATATGGAGGGGAATTCCCCTGGGAGTTACAAAGAACCTGGCCTTGATTGGATGATTGGGTTTCTTTTTGTTGCTAGCTTTATAGGGCTGTTGGCTTTGGTTCCTCTCAGAAAGGTTTGTTGCTTACTTCAACAACCTTCCTAATTGTTTTGATATGCAAAAAAAAAATTTAAAAATAGAAAGCAATTGAGTCATTATAGTATTTTTTAACTCCTCTGAAAGGAAGGGTGGCAATTTGATAAAATAAATAAAAGTGTCTTTTCTGATGGCTTAAGCGCTTCAATGAGTTACTAAAGCAAGCAAATTGTATTTGTGTTGGGCATGTAAATATATAATAATAATAATAATAATAATAATAATAATAATAATAATAATAATAATAATGCCTCCTCTCTTACAATTTAAGCTGTTAGATGAAATAGTTCAACAACCAACACTTCGAATTTTCTGATGATATAAATATAAAATAAGTTTGTCCCTTTTTAAAGGCTAAGTTTTAGATTAGGTGGTTTAGAATGGTATCAGCGCACGTAAAGATCTTAAGTTCAAATCTTGCCGCCACATATTAAAAAAAGTTGCACATGTTAGGTCTTTGATTATAAAACAAACCATATCTCCATGTATGCAAATGCAGATAAATATGTTTGTGCATTCTATGATTGCTTAAGATTTTAGACGAGATGGTTGCATGGACCATGTCCGATAAATTCTTCTACCATGTTTGATTACATTAAATTGACCTTTTTTTTTCCTTTTGAGTTAATTAACTATCAATTTCTTTATTGTTATTCATCCCATCTCTGTTATTTTACAGATCATGATTATAGATTACAGATTACCTTATCCAAGTGGAACTGCCACTGCTGTCCTCATCAATGGATTCCACACTCTTAAAGGAGACCAAATGGCCAAGTAACAAATCATTTCTTTTCTTTTCATAACATATGAAATTCTACTTGTAAACCAACTTATAATTCTCTTTTTTCATCAATTTTCAGGATGCAAGTTCACGGATTTATGAAAATTTTCTCAACTAGTTTCCTTTGGAGTTTCTTTCAATGGTTCTTTTCTGGTGGAGGGCAATGTGGATTCAACAACTTCCCCACCTTTGGATTGAAAGCTTGGAACCAATCGTGCGTACTTCACACCTATTCTAAGCAAGCTTAAGAGCATGATACTTCTAAGTAAAAGAAGTAACTAATTTTCAACTTTAACCCATAAAACGAATACTTATTTTCTTGAAGTGAACCTTTTAAGCTTAGACAAACATGCTCTAAATCTCATATTCCATAATTTTTCTATCACCATTCATAGAAAGTCACCGAATTTTGCAGATTTTACTTTGATTTCAGCATGACTTACATTGGAGCCGGAATGATTTGCTCCCATCTTGTGAATTTATCCTTGCTTCTTGGGGCTGTGCTCTCGTGGGGGGTTATGTGGCCACTAATAAGTGAACGCAAGGGAGTTTGGTTTCCTGAAACTATACCAGAAAGCAGTATGAAGAGTCTAAATGGTTACAAGGTCTAAATTGAACACCATTTTCCTAAGTAGGCTAGAAATTACATGTTTGAGGATGATTTTCTGTTTGACTTACCACAATTTTGAAATAAACGTTACATATACGTATTCATATACCGGTGCAGGTTTTCATTTCTATCGCTCTAATCCTCGGTGATGGTCTATACAATTTTCTCAAGACAATGTTTTGTACCATTAGAAGCATGTATACTGCGTTCAACAAAAGGAATCTTAAAGCAGGTAAATAGGTAACTTCTGTTATGTACTGTCTCTCGACGCCCTTTTAGACTAAGCCTATTACTACTTGCTAGTTTACTCATGTCACAGCTCTCCACATTTAGTAGTAAAACATAATGTCCTTATGTCTTGTATCTATAATTTCTGTTACTCAATTAACCCAACAGAACGATGAAAAGTGATACATCTAGTCGGCTTCAAATTCATAGGAAAAGGTGCTGATTCGAAGTTCCACACGCAGTAGAAAATTTCATTCTGACTAATTTTTTTTACATACTGCTGTTTCAGATAACAAGAGTCAACAACTCGATGACCTCCAAAGAAATGAACTGTTCATAAGAGAGAGCATTCCCTTGTGGGTAGCATGTGTTGGATACATGTTATTCTCCATTATTTCCATCATCGTAATTCCAATAATGTTTCCTCAGCTGAAGTGGTATTATGTTCTGGCTGCGTATGTTCTGGCACCATCTCTGAGTTTTTGTAATGCTTACAGTGCTGGCCTCACGGACATGAACATGGCATATAACTATGGGAAAGTGGCTCTCTTTGTGCTTGCTGCTTTGGTCGGAAAAGATAATGGTGTAGTTGCAGGACTCATCGGATGTGGTTTGATAAAATCCATTGTTTCCATATCGTCTGATTTGATGCATGATTTTAAGACGGGCTATCTTACGCTCACTTCACCTCGATCAATGGTTCTTAGCCAAGGGATTGGGACTGCCATTGGCTGCGTTGTTGCTCCTCTCACGTTCTTCCTGTTTTACAGGGCTTTTGACGTGGGGAACCCAGATGGAGAGTACAAAGCTCCTTACGCCCTCATATACAGAAACATGGCAATTCTCGGTGTGGAAGGCTTCTCCGCTCTGCCTCAGCATTGCTTGCAGCTATGCTATGGGTTTTTCGCATTTGCCATATTGGCTAATTTGTTGAGAGACTGGGCGCCGGGGAAAGTTGGAAAATGGGTTCCTCTCCCAATGGCTATGGCCGTGCCTCCCCTCGTTGGAGCTAACTTTGCAATTGATATGTGTGTCGGCAGCTTGATTGTCTACATTTGGCACAAGGTAAACAGCGCGAAGGCTAGTTCAATGATTCCCGCGGTTGCATCTGGTTTGATATGTGGAGACGGACTGTGGATTCTTCCTTCCTCTATTCTTGCTTTAGCCAAGATTAATCCTCCCATCTGCATGGGTTTTTTGCCTACCTTCAACTTCCTAAGAACTTGAAGGCACTTGATGGGTTTGTTCAGTACCATGAATTGTATATTAATTTATCATATTCTGAAGATGAATTATATATTAATTGATCATGAAAGAAAAAAAAGTTAAAATCTTGTATATTCTATCTCATCTAATACCCAAAAACAGCCTTAAACGAATTTGTGTCTGATCTCATATTGAAATTGAAATTACCATTAACACTCATGAAAAGGTTAAGATCATGATCGAAATGATTTTTGCGATTGTTTTGACATTTCAGATAATTGAACATAACAAAATACTATTTTTATTTTTGTGTTGAACCTATAAAGTACCCAATTTGACATGCATGGTTTGCACCACCCTCGTGTGTAGCTTAGGTTGTAGCCGTGGATGTTCACCTTAGCCCTTGTTTGATAACCATTATTTTGAGAAATGAAATTTTAAATGGTGTTCTTTTAAAAGAATGTGTGTTTCAAAAGTAGGAAAAAAATTTGAATTTATGTACAAAATATATTAGTCTCAATGTACAGTTGAAAATAAGTGTGAGAATTAAAAAATTTAAAATAATAATTGTCAAAAATGAACTTAATTACACCAGATATGCAAATAACCAATTGTATATTAAAAATTCAAATCTCCATTCTTCCTCTCAGGAGGCTACCAAAGGCAAGCCTTAGAAATTTTCGGAAGCCAAGACCATTTCATTGTGTCAAGTCTATTCACCATTATTTGTGCCCTGTTTTCTCGTGTGCCACCAAATGATTCATCTCTATCTACAGATGTCATTTTCAACTCAAAAGCCTCATGTCCAACAAAAATACAAAGATTTTATGACTAAACGAATTATATCAACTTTTAAAAAAGAGAAAATTTGTAACCTATAATTCTCGACAGCAGTCTCCAACTTTATGGATATGGTGTCTCTTCAGTCCCTGAGGCCTACTTTCGACCGAAAGCAACTGCACAAGTGCAGCTTTTGAGGGTTAAGAATCTCCGGACACTTCGTACACAAAACAGAAGCCCACCTGTTCTTCATTTCACACACTTAATCCTTGGGTTTTGGTGTGCAGTTAATTCCCAAAGACGAAAGAAAACAAACAGAACTCTTCCCGATCCCGTACAAAAATAAGCTTGTGTGACAGAATACACATAATAATGGAAAAGGTTTAGCTTCTTTTTCTTACGCAGTATTGTCTGGTCTAACATATTAAACATGCCATTAGTGATCATGCATAAGAACAAGAGAAATGAGTGATTATAAACTGTTGATAAATGGTTTAAATTGTAAACATGTAGAAATGAATGACAGATAAGTGAGTAGTACTTGTGAATCACTCGAAATGTGTGAATAAAAAGTAGCTTGAGTTTCATAAACCCTTTATAACACAAGCCAAAGCCATCTTTTTCTGTAGAAACAACAAACCTCCCAAAGCCATCTTTAGTTCACAAAACATATGAGTTAATTGAGACTGAGGAATCACATGGAGAGAGTAATCTCAACGCAACAAGCATAGCAATTAACAACTCAAGAAAAAAATAATGAAATTGGCTGGATGAGGCTGGAGACGTAATTTATATAATTGGAGGTAATGTTAAGAGACGCAGAAATTAGAAGACAGGTCCTCTTGCTCTTCAGCAGATATCTTGCCGTTCTCAGTCTCATCAGAAACAAAAATAGCATGACTTGCCTTGAGAAAGAAGTTCTTTCAGGTAAATGCCATGCGAAGGAGTCTTGGTAGCATAAAGCTGAGAGCAAGCATTTCTTCCATTGATCTAACATATCTTAATGAAGGTAAAAGCTCTGGTTCATGATTTAGGTCCATAGAACCTTATTTTATTATTTAAGTTCTGTATCAACATCAAAACTTCGGGAAATATCCTGAAGCTTCGTCTAATTCCAAACATAAGGTAATTACTATTTTCAAACACGAGGTCATTCCAAACAGGATTGATTCCATTATCGATCCCGAAAAATAGACACCCTCAAAATATCGAGATAACTTGAGCACACCTCTGACCTCTCAATATGAACACTTATTTATGTTTTTTCCAACTCAACCCTCCAACGAAACTTCCACATCTGTTCTACACAATTATTCCTTATTTACATCATCAACTAAAGTTCAGTTTCTCTAACTAACTAAAAATTCACTGATCGCCACTTTCTGTTCATAATATTCATCGAATGCAAAAGACAAAGATACACTATAAATTTCTCTCCGAATCCAAACTTTTCCCTATTGAATGAAAGCAAGTAACAATTTATATTCTCCGAGAGACAATGATATCATGCAAAATAAATCCATGAAGGAGAAATTAGATATAAGCAAGAAAGCCATCAACTTTACCATTGTAACAAAATACAAAATGGCAAAACAAGAAATTTAAAGGCTGACCCTTCTATCGCATTGTTCAATCTTCAAAGCATTATTTAAAAAATTTGAAATTTGAAATTATTTGGCAGTGCCTGGCTTTTCCGGCAGTATGTCTTCCAAAAAAATGGACTTTTAAGCGCGACCAAACATGTCGTAGCCATACAATCAAACACATGTTGTTCTAACAAGATGCAGAAAATTTCATTTGAAATATAGATAATCAAAATATTAAGTAACAAAAATTACAGTAAAAATTATTTAATAATTCATTTATTGGGAATTCTTTCCTTTCAATCAAGAAAACCTGTTTTCTGAAACACGGCGTTGCGCACGCGCCGCAAGTCCCGCCCTTTGAGTGTCCTTCCAACGCCCTCGAAGACCGAGAAGGTCGCGTGAGATCGGGCCACCATCACGTGAGGTGGCACCATTTCCTCTTCATCATCCAGCTCCTCATCGTCCACCTCATCAAAACTTCCCATATAATTATTGTGATTTTTGAAATTAATCTTCTTCGGCCATACCGGCACGTTCACCGGCGCAGACTGGTGGAATTTCACCTGCGCACCGTCGCTTCGCACCACTGGCGGGATTATTTTCGCGGCAGTGGACGGATTCAGGGTGGATTGCCGTCTGATGAGTCGGTGGTGGTCTTCCGACAGGGCGGCGGAGAGGCCCGACTTCGTCGGGCTGAATTGACGTCGGAGCTGGGAATGGGGATGAGGCGGCGAGCCGTGATTGGACAACGGCGGAGAAGGTGATTTCGAATTTGCATATGACTCGGCGGAGGTGGAAAACCAAAACACGTCGCTTTCTTCGAGCTCGAGGAGATTCGGGTTGGGAACATTATGGATCTGGTCACACCTGTCGAATTTGGTTTGTCGAAGGGGTCCAATGAAGCGGAGAGTTGGGGGAGATGGTGGGTTGTTGGCCATGGTGGTTGACTCAGTATCCGTCCAGCGGCTCCTCCCCATGTTGTGAAAAGGAAATATTTCTGTTTTTTGTATTTTTAAAATTATTGTTATTTATTTTATTTCTGCAATATTAGGGAATTAATTTTCTGTGGTCGAGAGTGGAGAGTGCTTCAACCCCTGTTTTATACCTATTATTCGGAAATAATGATATTTTTAACATTGATTTTTAGGAGAACTAGTCACAGCTGAACATGAATTATACGTTATTCTGAAAGATTTGTAAGTGCAGTGAAAATAATATTTGACTCTCCATCGTTCTAAATATTAGAGAAATTCAAGTCCTTAAAAATAAATGTTAATTATTATACATGCACGTAAATAATGAAAATGCATAGTAAAATGTGGGTAATGGAATTACAACTAAGCCCTTGTTTGAACCTCATTTTTTCCATTAAAATGTATTCTTGAACAGTGATTGAAGCATATTTCAATTACACATTCTTTAATAAAATGTATAAATAAAGATGAATGACAAATACAATATATGTTAATTAATTTATTCAAAATTAATTCCGAGAAATATATACGTGATAATGAATTTTAAATCATTTTATACTAAATGAATATAATTTAATTTTCAATTAATTGAAATTTGATGATAATTAGTATACATGGACCAGAATAATGAATTGTACTCTTGAATGCGAAATTCTAATTGATAGCAATTAAATAAATATAAATGTTAATTAAGGCTTGTTTGAACCCCCTTTCTTTTACAAAAAAAAAAAAAAAAAAAGGTATTTTGTAATAGTATTGTGATGGAGAATATATGGTTAAGGGTATGGCTGTAAATGAATCGGATATAGATCGGATATGCCTATATTCGATCTGAATCCGATAAGAAAATTATCCGATCCGATCCGATAATCCAACGGATATTTGATTATTAAATCCATATTCGATTAGTTATGTTATCAGATATTCGATCCGATAATCCGATCTGAAATTAATAAAAATTAGAAAAAAAAATCAATATTCTTTAAAAAAAATTGAACGAACTTGAGGCCCACTTGTTTTTACTAGCAAATCCAATACTAACTTCTGCCATCATGATGTTCCTTTTTAAATGATAGATCATCTTTTAGTTTTCTATTGACATTCGATGTTGGATAAGATAAAATTGAATTTAAATTCTAAATATAAAGATTTTATTTCATTATTTTCATTAACAAATCAAATTATTTGTTACATATTAATTATTAATTTTTGAAGTTGTAAAATAAATTACAATAATAAATTTAATTAAGAAAAATATAGATATTTATTTACTTGAAATTAGTAAACTAAAATTTAAAAAAAATATATTGTTTTTATAATATTTTACATTTATGTGTATAGTTATTTATTCAATTTGACAACCGATTTGATCTCAATTCGACTTTTTGATCATTGACCCTCTTCCTTTTTTCGGTCGATGCCCTCATCAATTTTTAAAATATTGGTTGAAATCAATTTTTTTTTTTAATTTTCCAATTCTTAAACATGTTTAATAATTATAAATTTTTCAATTTTTTTAATATTTTGAATTTGATTACTTTTTTATTTTAAATTTATTTATTTTAGGGACAAATAATATGCCATAAAAATATTTTAACTACTCAATTATTTATAACAAAATGGATCGGATTGACCTATATCCATATTTGACCCATTTAGTTAACGAATTATCGGATTCGGATCTTGATCGGGTTATCGGACAGAGACCCTAAATCCATCTCTCATTAATTTCGTCAGATTTGGATCGAAATTCAATCCATTGACAGCCCTAGTTAAAGGTGTGTCTGATTGATATTATTGTGGAAAGAATATATTTTGAAAGTGATATAATGGAAAAAATGTGGTTAAAAAGTAATGAAAAGTTATTGATATGATGAAAAATATTATTTCATTAAAGTATGTGTGGTTGAAAACGAGTTTTGAAAGAATGTGGGTCAAACAGAGGCTAATTTTTTTTTTTTTTAAAAATCTAGATTTTTGTGTAATATTATTTATTGAAGAATGTGTGGTTATAATGTAGTCAAATCACTGTTCAAGAATGTATTTTAATGTGAAAGAGAGGCTCAAACAGGGGCCTAATTGAGAATTAACAATATGGATACAATCGTAAATGTGAATGTGAGAATTATAATTAATATCAATTAAATGAATGTTAATGTTAATTAATTGAGAATTAATTATAAATAATACATGTATAACAAGAATTCTGTAATATTTATTACAATTCTTAAATTAAGAGAGTGTTTGAGCCATATTATTTTGGAATAATGTATTTTCGAATAACAGATTGATGGAGAATGTGTGGTTGAAAAAAAAAATTATTGATGTGGTGAAAAATATTATATTATTGAAGAATATGTGATTGAAAATGAGTAAAAGAATGAGAATGAAAATTTTAATGTGACTCAAATAGGGGCTAAATACATATTGAAAAACGAAAATGAAAGTATTATTGAAATAATTGAATTATAGTAAGACTCAAATAAATAATTCTCACTTGATACGATATTTAATATATTATAAATTTGTGATTTAAAAATAGAAAAAGTTTTAAATTTACGTACATAATATTTTATTGTATGAATATAATTAAAAAATGAGTACGTAAAAAAAAGAGTTTTCAACATGGAGTTTATTGAGTCGTGAAAATTGATTAAAAGGTATTTCAGTTGGGACTTCTTAGGTTTTTGGATGTGTTGTGTGGAGGTACGTGGGAGTGGTGTGGGTATATTCGAAGTCTTCCTTCATGCACGAGGCATGTCCATTTTTACTGTCAGATTGTCACGTGCAAGCATTCTTTAGTCTCTTTTTATCTTTTTTTTTTCCAACACCCAATACGTTTTTCAAAAACGCTACAGGTATAGGAAAGCTGAACCGAATTATTACAGGATTTTAAAATCTCATTACGTGGCATAAACAGTGAAGGAGTGACCGGTTTAAACCAAAAGTGGACCAAAACCGGGAAAATCAACAAAACCGCCTACATTGCAAAACTCAAGTAAGAGATCCCATTCCCCCTAAATCACACATTCTACACCCTCTCCTTCCACGAAAGCACCAGGCACCATTTTCATTCTCATTCCGCCTCAAACATCGCAAGCAATCGGCACCATTTTTCACGAAATCGTATTATCTCCCCCCCAACACTTCTTCACCTCCGGCCAAACTTGTTTGTCCGTCTCCGGAACTACCATCCGCCTCAAGCAGTGACAGACCGAAACCGAACTTCAACATTGTAGCTGAAAACAAAGGGCTCTCGCTGCAGATGACGAACAAACGTATATCGCTCCAGAGTTTACAATGTGTGATTTTCCATAGTGAAAAAATTCCTCTTCTCATTCGATTTATGTTCATTTGGGCGTCTGATTATTTATAGGTCAGCTCATACATTTTCAAATTTCGATAAATATACATAAATTGGTTTCCAGATTTTACAATGTTGATTTTCCATAAATTGCAATGTGTGATTTTTCCTGAATTGGTATCCAGATTTATGCATTTCAATATGAAGCATCATGTGAATCATCAAAATGTAATGATTATCAGTTTAGGATATTTTAAGGGTAAATTAAATTTTCTTATAAAACAAAGAATGGCGATCTTTGGAATCGGAGTTAACTTTGTTGGCTGAATTCATACTAAGATAGTTGGAGAGAAATAGAATTTGTGAGCATATGGATTTAGTTGTGTGACTTGCGTTACTATTTTAATGGCAAGCGGCATAGTTATGCTCTTAGTTATAAATAACTTTGCAACATTTAATAAAATTAGAATTTTTATTGCAGGAAAAGAAATTGTAAGAGGTGAGAATCACGATTTATTGCTGGAATGTGATAACGAGAACATAATCTAGCATTTGAACACATTGGAGAACGAAAATGAAGGAGGAGATGTTGCGACTGAGCCTGAGGTGGGTATGATGTTTAATAGTGAGAAAGAAATGTTGGATTTCTACAAAAGACATGCTTACGCCATAGGTTTTCCAGTGAGGAAACGAAATTCGAAAAAGGCGGACGCCGTAGGTATTGTTTACACTAATTACTGGAAGATGACATTAGTTATGTTTATGAATGTTGTATTCATAGTATTTGTTTAAGCAAGTTATTATTGTTTTCCTAGTATGTGTTTAAGCAAGTTATTATTTGTAGGTAAGTTGAGCCAACAATGAAGACCTATCTACTCGTCCAAGTAGAAGGGGGTTTGCCACTAGTGGCAGATTGATTTTGATCTAAAGCTGTACCTTTTCTAATACACAATATTTGAGTTGTCCGTGAGTTTTGAGGGTACACGATAAGTTATAGCTTTGTTGAAATTTTTCCTCAACGGTGTCTAAGTAGGACTCCAAGTCCTCATTTGAGGTTATATTTATTGTAAAATTACTACGTTTATGAAGTCATTTTGTGAAACGGGACTATCAAATATCTCTTTCGTTGAGTCGACTTTTTTATGTTAGAAAATTCCCACATTGAAAAAAATAGACGTAGACAATCTGCACAAAAATGAAGTGATTTGGTGAAACATTACTTATTGCTTATAACCAGAATTTTAGTGGCACCATTTGCAAAATTGTAGTTGAAATGGGACTCATGATCTCATTGTATGAAAAATGAAAAACAAAAAACAAAATCATGATCTTAAAACTTCATGCACTACGCGAGGGAAATGATAAATCTTCATCAAACTAGATATGTCAACGTAATAAGAAAAATATGTCTGAACCATCAATATATTAAAACATTACCATAATAGTGACCCTATGTCCAACGCTCAACCGACCTTAACAAAATTAACCATGTTAATAAAAGCCTACTATGACCAACAAGTTCATACATTACAACAAACCATAAAGCAAATACAAAATGACATCATAGTACTCTGTCTACTACAAACTGAACTGTTATCCCAACTTCAAGTCGGTCCCTTTTCTTTCTCATCACATTCGGCAATTCATTTCCCTTGCGAAATGTTAAGTGCAATGTTATGTCACGTATTATTTCTCGGTT